TTTTTTTTTTTTTTTCACCTTTTGATGGCAGGCCTGTCCCAGGCTAGCAAGCGCTTTACCACTGAGCTACACCCCCGCCCTGCCCCACATGTTTAAATATTAAAATAATGATTCACGGATTTTTTTAGGCACTGGCAACAGGTGCCGTGGGCTTCGAATGATATACACCTTATGGAGCATCTCTCTGTGGGGGGAAAGACGGGGGAAAGAGATTTGGGCTCCTCTGAGGTCCGGCATTGCCTGTTGTTTCTGAGCCCAGTGGCCCCATCTGTCCAGTGGGCATTAACACTGGCCACGTGGGAGGGAGGACTGAGAGGTTGGGAGGCAGCTTCCTGTGCCTCCCTTGTAGGGATCCGCCTTGACATGACTACAACCATCCTGGTTGCATTTGCCATTTTGTCCGCCAGGTAACCTTGGCACCCATCCCAAACCCTCTAGGACAAACGAAGTTGTGAAGACGGCCAGCCGAGCACTTTGTGCTGGTCACTGCCCCCTGGGTTGTTTCTTAGTTGACGTTTGCCTTGCTGACGCCCAAGCCAAGTCCTTAATGAGTTGCACTCCGGCAGTCCTGGATCTGTCCACCTCTTTCTTTGATCTCTTAGCTCCTCCCCCCTCTGGTGGCCATTTCTCAAGCACTAGTTTTCCTGAAACGTTCCTGGTTCTCAGCAAGGGTCTGATCCCGCCTCCCCCACCCCCACCCGGCCTCCAGCCCTATCAGGCTGCCCAGGACCCCAACCCACCCACAGGGAAGCACAGAGGACAGACTCAGTGCGTCCCACCAGAGGCAACACCACACATGCAGCTGCGGTTCTCAAAGAGGAACTATGGGGTGGCCACAACCCCTGGGGAGACAGGGGAGCCGCCAAGAGCAGCAATTTTGGTGTGTGGGGGGGTTGTCTCTGGTACACTGGGCAAATAGACTACCCCAGGCCACCCCTGCAGTGGGAGCAAGTGGGAAGGAGAGGAGGGGACAGGAGAAGCCACAAAGCTCTCAGGACACCCAGCCGTGAAGTCACTCCTCCCTGTTTGTGTGGGATCCCAGCAGCCCCCACTCCCCCAGCTCCAGCACCACCATGAGGCCCCACAGATCTGCCCCTGTCACTTTCTCTCTTTGGCATTTGAGGTCTTTACTGCATGGGGTAGGGACAGGGCACTTGGTGGAGCCTTTTCCTCCCCAGGATATGGAGGGAAAAGGAAGTGTTTTTGCCCCTTCTGGGCTCTGCTGGCAGACGCGGGGACCCTGATCTTGGTAGGTCACTCCTGGGTGAGCCCCAGGGCCGAGGTGGGGGCTCCGTGCCCTGCTGCGCCAGGCCTCTCACTGTGTGCCCTAGCTCTTTGGTCTTGGCAAAAAAAAGTCCCTCTGGCTAGTCCTCAGCTCCCCTGTTTACGTCTGGGGCAGAAGGAAATGCCCTGGTAGGTCCTGGGTGGGGATGACATAAGATAACGCCAGTCGTCCCTGAGCACAGGCAGCCGGACAGTGGAAACGTGGGATCTTCCAGTCAAATGACCAGAGCCTCGGGGCCTGGCATGGAGCAGACCGCACGGTGCCTGGGGATGAGACTGTCCAGAGCTGGGAGGAGGACCTAGGCTAGGCTCCCCTCCCACCCCCAGCTCAGGGTCTCGGGATGTCAGTGCTGTGGTGTCTGAAGGGACAGGAAAGACAGTGACTGTCCTTGAACCTGAATGGCACCTTTAGCACCTGCCAGGTGTTCTCACCACGGTGCAGCAGGGCTCTGGATCCCACCACCCACCAGCTGTGTGGCCCCGATGAGGCTGAAGCCCTGTGAGCTTCTCTCCTTGCAAGGGACGGGCTGCGGGGAAGACCCCGTGAGACCAGCATCCACAATCATGAAAGAGGAAAACGAGCTCTCCTCCTAGAGATTCATTTGGAGTCTCAGGTTCAGAATGCTAGAGATTCATTTGGAGTCTCAGGTTCAGAATGTGACGTGACCTGCCCGAGGTCACCCGACTTAACTGGGGAGGGCGTTTGGGGTCTTGGAGTGACCCAGTGGTTGACAGCACCAGCCCTGGACTCCAGGAGCTGGTCTCCATTCACACTGGCTCCTCTCTTTTCTGTCCATGTGACACTGGCCAAGTCACTGCAGCTGCTGAGACTGCCTTCCCTTATCTATGAGATAGGGCTGTCTCCCTCCCTTCAAAGAGTGCCCTTTGCGTCTCTGGTCGCGGGGCATTTTGTAGGTGTTGAGGTGAAAGCAGAAGCTATTTGAAAAATAACCCTCTTCCTGTCCTTCATGAGACCGAGCTCAGGGGGAGGGCCAAGACAGAGTGCCAGGGGGCAGGGAGAGAAGAGCGACCAAAGAGAAAGGAGAGATTGCCCTGAGACCAGGGAGGGAGCACTGGCCAGGGCCCCTTGAGTGTTGGGGACCAGGCTCTGCTCCCTGGAGAGAGAAGGAGACCTCGTCCTCCAGGAGGAGCTGCTGGGTGACACAGCTCCAAGGTCAAGCACAAAGCAAGGTGGTCTCAAGTCTTGGCAAATAATGGGGGACCCCAGCGAGCCTGGGAAGTGGGCATAGCCCGACTCCAGGGGATCAAGCCCGGGAGGACAATGGGCATCCACCAAGGGTCCGCATTTGATGCTGGGGCTGGGCAGAAGGAGGTCCAGCATAGACCCAGGCTCAGGTTCCCATTAGCCCAGTAGGATGAAGTCTCCCCCTGAACATGATTCCATCGGAATAAATAAAAGGTTTGATGTCCATTGAGGGCCCAGAGCGAGAGTAAGAAAGGAGGAGAGAGGAGAGGCTGGTGCTGGCGTGACAGGCTCAGCTCGGCTGAGGCCAGCTGCCATCTCGCCCACTTTGACTGGCCAAAGGGAAAAGGGACAGCTCACTGGCCCAGACCGGACCTGTGGCTTGGGGCAGGTGAGGGCGCCACCTCCCTTGAGCCATGAAATGGTTACGGAGCTGGGACCAGGCCCCCTCCCCGGGCTCCCTGAGCTCCTCCTCAGCCCTGTGCTGCCTCAGTCCTGGGCTTCGCGCCCTCAAGGTATCTACCTGCCACCCCTTCTAGGGAGAGGTGGCTTCATCTTACCCTCACCCCTGACCCACAGCAAGGGCAGATGGGGTGAGGTCACAATCTCCACCACAGCCATCACCGAGTCCAGCACAGGTGCCCTCCCCACCGCCACCGTCACCTCACTGTGCCCACGTCCTGGGAGGGATATTCTCAGTTCCATCTTCCACAGAAGAGGAAGCGGAGTGGGACAGTCGCAGAGTGACTTGCCTGAGACCATAGTCACTGGTGGCGAGGTCAGGATTCAATCATGACCCTGGCCCCAAGGTGCACTCATCAGTACCCCTTTTTTTTGAGGGGGGGGTACTAGGAATTGAACCCGGGTGCTCTACCACTGAGTCATATCCCCAGCCCTTTTTTTTTTAAATAATAACTTTTTATTCTATTCATTTATTTTTATGTGGTGCTGAGGATCGAACCCAGTGCCTCATGTGTGCTAGGCAAGCCCTCTCCCACTGAGCCACATCCCCAGCCCCCCAGCCCTTTTTATTTTGAGACAGGATCTCACGAAGTTGCTCAGGCTGGCCTCAAGCTCGAAATTCTCCTGCCTCAACCTCCAAGTAGCTGGGATCACATCACGTGTGCTGATGCTCTTATTTGATGCCTGTGTGACTTTGGGTAAGTGGCAGCCCTGCTCTGCAGAGTGGGCGATAGAGACAGGGCTCACCATGGACAATCATGAGGATCAAACGAATCCAATCACGACAGGCCCTCGGAGGCATGCCCAGCACGCCACGCAGCTGTAGGAGAGGGTCTGGTGAGACAACAGTCCGTGCTGACTCTTGATTTTGTCTGAAGAGGACCCACCAACCCTGTAGGTATCCTGAGGTGACCTCACCCGCTGTCCCAGACAGGCCCACCCAGCTTCTTCTGATTCTGGAGGGAGTGGGCAAGGCAAGAACACAGGCTTTCTGGGACGAGAAAGATGTCTAAAATAAACCAGCTAAAAATGTGACTCACGTTTGCTGGTGGCTGGACCCTGGGAGCTGGTTTTTGTTCACCCCCAAGTCCTGGTCCTGGGTCCTGTCCGGAGGTCCCGTTGAGCTGCTGCCCTCAGCCAGGTTTTTCTTGCATTTGCACTTGTCACAGATGAGTGAGTGTGAGGAGGTCCTTCCGTCCCTGTTACCACTTCCCCTCTGGGTCCCTGGTGCCACAATGCTCTTGCCCCAGTAGTTGACTTCTTTTTCACAAGGAACTCTGGACGGGGTGGGGCCTGTGCCCACGCTGTGCCCACGCTGTGGAGTTGAGGGACTTGGCTTCTGATCTGGCCTGGAAGTCACGACACTGAGCAGTTCACTTAGCCTGCCAGAGCTCAGTTTCTTCATCTGCAAAATGGGGATAATGGGCCAGCCTTACCTAATTCACCCCAAAGGACATTCCTTTCACTCCAGGACCTCCTCCCTATGAGTCCAGAGCTTAGAAGTGCAAATGCCGACAGAGGCCAGGCAGATACCATAAATGGGAGATGGGTACCGGCAGGGGACAAGAGGGACTGGTGGGGACTGTGGGCAATAGTGGACTACAGGTGCCTAAGTGAGCAGGTACCTCTGCTCTTCCGCCTGGAAGTACCCAACTGCCAGATATTTCAAATTTAATTCTAGAACAATCAGGTACAAAGTCAAATCTTTTAAAAATGCGATGTGAGGGGTTGGGAGGCATTGCTCAGTGGTATAGCACATGCTTAGTATGTGTGAGGCCCTAAATTCAATCCCCAG